AAATCAATACTATATGCGACACTCTTTGAAAGACATTTTTTGTTGATGTCGTATTATGCATAATACCTAAGGTAAAATTAATTCTTATCCTCTCAGCGCTTTGAAATCAAACCAACAAGTCATCCAAACTTACGTTAAAAATTTTGTACTGTAAAATGCACTCTGGAAGATACTTTTGAATGAGATTATCTTTGTAACTTAATGGCAAACTCCGAACAATATAGTAAAATAAAAACTTGATTAAAATCTCAACCACTAGTGAGCTTTATTTTCTTTTACTTTCGGAACCATAAAATTAAACACTTAATTTTAAAACAAAAAATAATAATAGTATTAAATTAATAAAATATATTATTTTGGTTAAACAAGTATGTATATGGTGACAGCCTTAGCTATGACTGGAATGAAATAATAACTTCTCAATTGTCTTCATTTCATAAAATAAGCTAATATGAGATATATTTGATATTTGATGATATGTCTCGTCTAACCAACCAACCAACCAACCAACCCCCTTTTAAATTCAATTATTTGCTAAAAAAAATTTTTTTTTATTTATATTTAATATATAAATACTATTTATTAATTAAAAATAAAACAATAAAAAATATTTTTTTTTGTTGAATGTTGTGGAAAAATATTAATTCTTTACTATATTCTATATATACACACTGTCAACCTATCTATAACTGCACGCTTTGAAGCCTTTTCTTTCCCAATTATTGTTTATCACATCATTTTCTTTATAAATGACGTTTTTTTCCCCCTTATTATTATTTTTATTTTTTGTGTATCAGCGATATATAATTTTATTTAAATATTTTTATTAAAAATTAATTAATTATTAATTAATTTAAAAAACAATTTTTAATAAAAATACAATAATACAAAAAAAATATTTATATACAATATAATACAATTACAATATTTATATACAACAACAAAAAAGGTAATGGGCAAATTGCTCGGCAATGCCACGTTTATGGAAGTGTTCTGAACAGCAAATTTACGAAATTCATCCGAAGCTAAGCTACAAGTTACTTAACCAAGAAATTTTGAAAAGGGCAGACTTGGGAATTTGTTGGTGGTCTCACAGCAAAGAGCGTAGAGCCCTTTACCAAACCGTGCGTACGACCCGGCGCCGTGCAACGGAAGACCACTCAACAGAACTCCACAATTTTCTGCCAGAGAGTAAGAGGCAAATGTGTGACGGATGCCACTGAGCAGATCTGCAAACAAACACTAATAACGGTTCTAGAGCGATCAATGTCCAGCTACGTGCCATCACAAACAGAAGACACACACTTCCAATACATGTTGTGTTGAAACTTGTATATAAACTAAATTTTAGAAAAAATTACATATGAGAATTGTAATTGCATACAATATTCATATATTCAACACAAATACTATCAACCACCAAATCTATAAATAACTTTTAGGTAACGCGCACACCAAAAAATATTACTGTTTAATAGATGTAACACTTTTAATAGAATAAAATTTTTATAACATAACACTTTTTAGTAAAAAATATTCACAACATAACATCTTAAACTTAATAAAAAATAAATAAATTTTACAAAAAGTGATATATATATAACAATTCATTCAATATATACAAATTTTTTAATAAAATTAACTTGAAACTACTACAGCTCATACAAATACAGAGTCATCTATAATGTAATATTTAATGAAATTAAAACAAATGTATATGACTTACGTTATTTGGGTGAACAATTCTTCAGATAAAAGTTAAGAGATATTAAATGACTGAATTATTTTAGACAGGCTATTCTATCCCGGACGTTTTTTTTTTCTTAGGCCAAGGTATATCATAATGGCCACAATTTTTACAACTTGTGTGAATCGTTCTCTCTGCAATATGTTATGAGTTTCACTTGCACTTATAAGCGAGACTATAGACCATAAATAAAACCATTTATAATTTTTTTATTATTTTATATCTTTTTTCTTTGCCATTTATATAAAACTTTTGTTTTAAAAAATTTAACCTCAATATTGAAATTTTTCTGAAACTCCTTTTTAATGACTAACCAATACTATATTTAAAAAAGACTTTAAAGGGTTCTAGTTTACTGTGCAGAACCAATGACGTTGTAATAGAATACATTAATTACTTGCTATGTCTTTGTTCGGGACTACACACGAAGTGACTTCGGCGTTTTGGATTTCATTTCTTCACTGGCCTGACAGAAACAATGAAAATAGATTTATTGGATCTACTCACGCTTACAATGAAGACCAAACGGTTTAACAAGGACAATACTTACTAGGTGATAACAACGGTTAGTGCAACTACCATCTCCTGGGCAACTATAAGGCTATCACAGAAGTCAATAGATGTCTCCGAGTAAAACAATTGACCATTATATGACCACACGCGCTCTCAAGCCTTATAGGAGACTAGATTATATTTTATAGAATTACCCAATACTTATAAAGAGCAATTCAATAGATATCTTGATTGTAATTCCTCATACATATTTTTCTTATATTGCAATTTCAGTACAACTAATACTTTTAAATGCCTATTACTTTAAGATTATTATTAGAAGGGATATAGTATAACCCCCTTAGCCACCATGATATTTATTACACCGACTTTGTGAACGAAGAATGAGTCTCTCTGTCGTACTTCTTCAATTAAACGCCATGTAAATTTCTAAGTGACAATGAAGGAGTGATCAACATTTACCTTTTTTTAGTTTGTAATTTTTTGTTATAGATCGGCCTTTCTTAATGACAATGACTGTAGTATTTGTCGTGATGGTGATATAATGAATTAAAGCCTACTATTTGTTCTATTTCATCGAATTACCTTACCAACACGTGCTTCGGTTAATCACGCGCTTTCTCCATCCAACAAAGCCTTTATATTCCCCAGATGATTTCTGGTTTACGTAGGTATATTTATAAAACTAGATTATAGAGATTATACTATAATTATAGAAAATAATTAAATTAAAGTATTTTTAAACTTAACAAGTGATATAATATAAAATAAAGTATATAACATAATAAAATTCGTATTTTTATTTATGATTTTATATATGAGTTTAACTACAATGAAATCAATGTGCAATTTTCTCTTAGAAATATTTTTAAAATGTCTTTCCTTCGTTGAGATTATAACTAACAATACAAAAAATTGTTTATCAAATGGAATTAATACTAAGCTAGTCAGTTCTTTAACTGTTAAATATTAATTTGCTTAATAACTAAATGATTTTATATTCCGTTTTTTTTTCTTTAATAAATATTCACAATAAAATTCATGTTTCGCATGAAATGATATCATTATAACATCACATTAAATTCACTTTTTTAACAATTAAAATATTTTTAAAAATAAGCTGCCGCTACTACTAAGAGTAAATAATGCATAAATGCAAAATTTTCATTTAAAGAATTTACTCCTTAAATTATTGCATTTTTGATAGAAAATATTTGAACATGTATAGCTGGGCTTAGAAACCAGAAATCTCTGCGTTCCATTTTAATTTAAATATATTTATGTGTTCGACGGTATTTGCTTTCGGTTAAGTTCCAGTTCGAAACCCTGACTCTACTTCTGATTATATACTTCAATGATGTGAAATATTGCAATATTATTTACCCATAGAAGTAAATGAATATATTTTAATTGTTAACGTTTGGCACTCCTTAAAAATAATATATGAATTTAAAGTATAAATGCAAGGAATGATATAAACATTCTTAATATAATAATTAGTTTTGGTTATTTGACTAATTTCTCAAGTTGAATTAGTCAAATCCAAAATCATATAAATTCAATTACTGCACTTACAGCTCAAAAGTTGGCAACATTAAATTGCTACGGCATTTAAATCGTAATACTAAAACTGTATAACTTAATACAAAACTACAAAAACAAATAAAAATATAAAAATTAAAAATGAATTATTATAAACTACACAAAATGCGATATAATGATATAAAATATATGGAAGAACATAAAAGGAAGTCTTGTTTGTAAAACATACATACTTTAAAAGCTTATGTACATAAATAACTTAAATTATTAGTGGGATTGCGTAGATGACACTTTCACTTAGTTTAAAAAAGTTTCTTCTGCTTTTGAGCAGTTTCTGTTGTAGCAACAATTCATCTTTCTTTTTTTTTTCAACGTTCAACTTATTTAAACGTTGCTGAAATCTTTTCAAATTGCACACGACTGTAATTTCACTTAAACGAATCATTAAACATTAATCATCATTCAACAATCAATATTCAATAAAATCAGTCAACTAATCAGTAACGCCTAAATGAACTAATTGTTGCATGCAACGCTGCAAATAAGTTGGATCGGGAAACATATTGAATTGCGTTTTGTGATCAACACTATTCCAAATAACAACATCTTCACGACCAGTGGTTACAGAACGCCCAATTGAGAAAAGTAAACGCCTATCAAAGGCTATTTTAAGAAATCGTAGTACTTTACGTCCTAGAGGACAATCCGGTAAATAGCAAATGCGTGGAAAACCAACAGCAAAAAATGCGCGCCCAGGATGAGGATGTTCCTCAGTTTGCACACCAGAAACGATGCTATAAAGAAATATTTCAAGTAAATACATAAATAAATAAATATTATGATATTTATACTTACTCATAAACAATTTGTATTGTGTTCTGTCCTTCATGCCCTGGCAAACTTTTGCTCAATATTGTCCATGACATTGTTCCTATTGGTTGGTTTCCTACCTTTTCACCGTAAACTATCCCACAAACAGGGCATTCAATAAAGAGATTCTGCGAAAGAAAAGTTATTTATAATAAGTTTGTAACTAAATAATATGTATTATTTTGAAACTTCTCCTATTCGTATAAGGTAATAATAGAAAATAATTAATAATTATTAAATGATATGAAAATAATATATATGAAAATAATATATATGAAAATAATATATATGAAAATAATATTCAAATAATATTAAAACGAATAGCATAAAATAAATAAATAATAATAAAATAATAATAAAATAATAATACAATTATAATTATGATTGCAATTATATTGCAATATTAAATAATAATAGTCAAAATAATAATAAATAATAAAAAGAATAATAAAAATATAATAAAAAAAAATATTAAAAATAATAAAAAAAAATATTAAAAATAATAATAAACAAATAATTAAAAAAATTTAATACAAAGGTAAACCAAATAAAAATATAAAAGTGTAATATATAAAAATAATTTCAAAAAATATATATAATTAATAAAAAAATATATATAAAAAAAATATAAAAATATTATAAAAATATTAATAAAAATGATATTAAAAAAAATTAATTACAAAAAAATATAAAAAATATGTATAAATAATAAAAAAAATATATAAAAATAATAATAAAAAAGTATATAAAAAAATTATATAAAAAAATATATAAAAAAAATATGTAAAAAAAATATATAAAAAAATTATATATATATAATATTAAAAAAATAATACAATAATAATGATCATATGAATAAAAATGATGAATGAATAATAATGATGAATAAATAATAATGATGAATAAATAATAATAATGAATGATTAAAAAAAAAATATATAAAAATAATATAAAAATATATATAAAAATAATAATAAAAAAGTATATAAAAAAATTATATAAAAAAATATATAAAAAAAATATATAAAAAAATATGTAAAAAAAATATATAAAAAAATTATATATAAATAATATTAAAAAAATAATACAATAATAATGATCATATGAATAATAATGATGAATGAATAATTATGATGAATGAATAATAATGATGAATGAATAATAATGATGAATGAATAATAATATAATTAAAAAAAATAAAATTTTTATTATTAAGTAGGAACTGAAGTAGATCGAGAATAAGTTGGTCTATTATGCAAACCCATCAGTTATTTTAACCGATCGATCGGATTTAAACGAGTCGGAAGATCTTTGAAGTTATTACCAAATTCGCATCTAACTATGATTAATTTTTTATCCGAAGTTCTTCTTCTGAACAAATTCTTAAATTTACTAAAAAGACAGATATTATCAGGAATCTTTTAAATAAAACAGATAATGTCTTAGATCCCTATATTAAATATCAGAAAGCAAAAAAAACAGAACCTAGAACAGAAATAGATAAATGTCATTTCCCACTTTCCTTTTGGCGCAGAGCTTTCACAGAATTATATGATATATAAACATAATATACTATAACATGCAACGCAGCACAATACATAATATAATGGAGTGCATAATTTAATATAATAAAATATCTCTCCTACCTTGTTTAATTCATTTTGTTGTGCAATAATCATGCCATTAAGACACTGTAAGTGCATTAAATGTTGACAACGGCTTAACGCTATAGCAGGATTTTGCGCATTATGGACAAGTTCTTCCATACACATGGGGCATGGCTGCGCATTTGGCCACATTGGTGGTTCGACAACCTTAACAAAACGTGATATCATATCACTCGCAGGATCAATACCAACTATCGAGCCTGGAACTGGTTGTTGTGTATGATTTCGTTTCGAGGAATTACTACGAGAACTATGATGCGGTGGTAAAGGTGGCGGTGCCGGTGCACGATCACTAAGAGATGTTGGTGGTAATGATGGTACAAACACTTCATCACTACCAAGCGAACAATCGAGTAGATCATTTACTGATATGGCAAAGTTTCGACTTCGTAAACTCTCTTTACTTTCATGGCTGAGATAGGTGGAAACGGTATCAACACTAGGACGTCGATTTGATTTCATACTGTTACTATCAGTATCGGAAGCTCGTGTACGTGAACGTGATCGATGAGAACCTAAACGGCTACTACGTAAAGATTGCAGTGAACCCTCGGAGCAACGACTGTGATGGCTGCTCATTGAAGAGGTAAGCATGGATTTTGTGTGAGAAAATGGTTGTAAGTGATTTGCAATAGTATTGCGATTTACTGTTGAGGATGAAGATGGAGCTGCATTAGAGTGCTTAGTACTGCTGCCGAATATGTTGAGATTATTAAAAATTTGTCTGAGATTAGTAGCGGTTATTTCACCAGATTTTTTTTGCGTTTTACGCTGTGATTGCAACTGTTGTGCTGAAGATGAAGTACTTGGTAACAAGTGATGTTGACGATTGTCGTGTGGTGCGTTTAAAGGAATTCGTTGTAATTGTTTGCAGTCATGTGATTTGTTAGGTAATTTGGGCAGTGTATTGTTGCGTTTTTGATTATATTCGCTATAATTATTTGCTGAAATTAAAATTTTATGTTTAAAAAAAAATATGTTACATTTTGCTTAGAACAATAAATCAAAACAAAAAAATATTTACCATTCATTTGTTGTGCTTGTTGTGGTGTTAATTTAACCAAAGGATAAGGAGCTTGTTGTGTACGACGTATGCTGCGCATAGCACCATCAGGTTGACGTGTTTGAGTTAAATTACAAAAATTTATTATATAAGGCAGTCCATTATTTGTGTGGCACAAATTTAAAGTTTGTTCACCCTACAATTTTGAAATACACATTTTAATTTATATGATATATTTGACTTCGCTTATAGTTACCTTCGCCCAGGCATCCTCTATTATGCATTGTACATGCATATTATATGTATGCCAGTCATTACCATTCGCCCCTGCCCACTCCCATTTAGTACCTTTGCCTGCCGGTGAGCTTGGAGAATAATACATGCGCCTTACACCTATAGTTGAATTGCCAGAATTTTCTTCCGACTCTTGTGTCATAGTGCGTACATTAACATAGTATTGTTCCAGTGACGGATCAGCATCACTCAACAGCACTCGTGTTAATTTTTTTACATGCGCACGCTCCAAGTGCTGAGATACTGCAGGACTATAGGGCAGCCATTTACCACCACGAGATTCATACTCCCATACTACCACTGCATGCGTGGTCGGTGGATTACATATACCATTTAGATTGGCGTTAGTTCCATTGTGGCTTGCCATCGCGACCTATGCGTACCCGTTCTCAACACACTGCACTTGCGCAGTTCAATATTTTACGTTTTCACTCTTTCATTTTATTAAATAATTATTAATTTATTATTTGAAACTGGAATACCAATAAACACGATGCAATTTACTTCCACTTGTTAATTGATAATATGCAACGAATATCCAACACAAAATAAACAAAAAAAATAAAAATGGTGGAACGGTGGTGGTTGTTAATTTTTATTGGACCAGATATTTTACACCATTATTTTCGTTATACCCTATAGCGTTCTATTTATAAATATTTTGGATTATTTTTTTTTACAATTTGGAATTTACAGAGATCAAAATAAACAGAATTTTCACAAGCAAACTAACAGTTAACAAGCCACAAATCCAAATTACACTTGTCTTCTCACACTGTAATCGAAAAGCAACGTAAAGAGGAACGTCAAGTGCGATCATGAATTTTAGGATTGCCACTCAATATCGTTGCAAACGCCAAAGAAAATGCAATATATATTGTTAAATAAATTTTATATATAATAAGCGCTAAACTATTATTTTGTAGAAACGTTAATTTATTTAATTATTTACTAAATTATAAAAGAATTTAATAATATAAAAGAATATTAGATCGTTCGAAAATCAATATAAAAATTTTGTACTTTAGGCTGTGTGCGAGTTTGAGTACATTGATGATAAATTCAGGGAAATAGTAAATTATGTCGGTATGGCAGCGAATGTTGGTATTTACCAGAATTTCGAGTAGGGTGAATTAGTTAAAAAATAGGTAAATTATGTGTTGCCATTGTGAAAATTTTATAAAATGTTTTATAAATAACTTTGAAAACTTTTAACCAAAAACAATAAATAAGTACAATAAATAAATATATATTAACACAAGTGCAGTGGAAAAAATTCAATTTACTTTATCTCAATTTATGGTTATTATTTATGGCCTTATGGTTATTTTTTAATGCAATTTTACAATTCATGTTTAAAAAAGCAACTTTAGAATAGACCCGGTCAAAAAATATATAAGGGACAGAGCTCTGAAGCTATATGCGAAAACCGACAGGCCGCCCTACTTAGCCTGTCTAATCTCAAGTAATCATAGAGTACAGCCATCATAGAGTAAAAGTGTTCAGATGCAGTAACTCGTAAAAGGATCAACATAGGACTATTTTGTACTAATTTTTAAAAGTAGCATCATAAAATTTTATTTTAATTTTTCATATTATTATTATAGCTAACATACTAAATATTTTATATACGTTTATAACAATATATATATATATATAAATTAAATTTAAATTTGTCCGTAACTTCAATTTTTTTTTCATAAAAAACTTTATTCACGCAATTACATTTTTTAATCATTTTACGGATTTTGACATTAGTAAGGTGCTTAATGTTTTACATCTGCATATTATGGTTATATTAAAAAAGTATACAGGTCATTAAACTATAATTATTATAATTATAATATAATTAAATTATATTAAAATTTATTTTAATATTTTATATTATTATTAATTTATATAAACAATTTCAATTAAAAAATAAACATTTAACATACTTGTCACCTAAAATAGCAGCAGATGTCGCTTTGCGCATGTTGACATTTGCATGACATACTTTTCATTTCCGTTTGCTCAACTCCTTTACCTTTTTGACAGGCAGACATTAAAGCAGCTCTTTTTTCGGGCCGCATAAATATCTGCTTTTATTTACTACATCTCCAAATAAAAACTTATTAAAATGGTTGTTAAGAAGGTAAAGTTAATATCAAAGTGCAAGTTTAAATTTATGTGAAATATATACGTGCAAAAACACAACAAACTTTTTTGTGTTTAACCGTGAAATCGTCGCATATTTTGATTTTGTTTATAAGTGAATTTCGACAAAAAGTAATTAATTTGTAAATCTTTACTATTTTTAGCCCAGGCCAAAGAAGAAGCCAGTAACCAAGAAGGTTGCCCCTGCACCATTGGCAGTTAAGAAGCCAGTGGTAAAGAAAGTTGTAAATCAACTTTTCGAAAAGAGGCCCAAAAATTTTGGCATCGGTAAGAAATGAACTTGCAATTCATATCACAAAAATTAAAAACTATTTTAATTGCATTTTAGGTCAAAATGTGCAACCTAAACGTGATTTGTCCCGCTTTGTTAGATGGCCAAAATACATTCGCATTCAACGTCAAAAGGCTGTTTTGCAGAAACGCTTGAAGGTGCCACCACCAATTCATCAATTCACTCAAACACTTGACAAAACCACAGCTGTCAAGATGTTCAAGCTGTTAGAAAAGTATCGTCCAGAATCAGCACTTGCTAAGAAACAACGTTTGAAGAAAATTGCTGAAGCCAAATCTAAGGGCAAGGATGTGCAACCCAAGAAGAAGCCATCATTTGTACGCTCTGGCACCAACACAGTAACCAAATTGGTTGAACAAAAGAAAGCGCAATTAGTTGTCATTGCTCATGATGTCGATCCATTAGAGGTTAGTATATTATAGTAATATTGTTTCGGAACATATCAGTAAATGGTGCTTTTACTATGATGTCGAATTTCTTCAACTGAAATTACTGCAGTAATACTTAACAGTAATACTTTCTTGTGGCAACTTGACGTACTGATACATAACTAATTAAATCTACAAATATTTACATTGTATAAGTTAATAATATTGTTTTTTTTTTTATCTTTTAGTTGGTACTTTTCTTGCCTGCTCTCTGCCGTAAAATGGGAGTTCCATACTGCATCGTTAAGGGCAAAGCACGTTTGGGTCTTTTGGTACGTCGTAAGACTTGCACGACCTTAGCTTTAACCAATGTTGAGGCTAATGACAAGGCTAACTTCAGCAAAATCTTAGAAGTCATCAAGACCAACTATAACGATCGTCATGATGAAATCCGTAAACACTGGGGTGGTGGTCTCTTGGGCTCAAAGAGTTTGGCACGTATCGCTAAGTTGGAACGCGCGAAAGCACGTGAATTGGCACAGAAACAAGGCTAAGCTTAAGTTAAGCTTTACGTTTTGTTTTTATATTTTAACAATAGAAGTGGATTATAAATGAAAAATATCAAATAAAATTGATAATCTTAAATAAAAATCCTAAACAATATTTTTAAATGATTAATTTTGTGTTAAACAGTGATTGAGTGAGGAGTTTTAATACACTTGAAAAAATGTTGTGTAGTTCATGATATTTATTTGTTTAATGTTTGTGCTAGGAAGTGATCTATTATTTGTTCAACTTTAGACTTTTAAATAATTAATATATACAAAACTGAACAAAGCATAACTATTAAAAATGTAGAAATTAAATTTAATTTTTGTGAAGTTATTGGATGTAAATTGCTCTACTTGCATCGGCACTAAAACTTGTACATTAAATGGATGTTTACATTAGCAAACGATTTTTAACAAATTATTAAACTCCTGGCTAAATTTGAATTGACTCTTGAAATTTGTTTAATTCTAAAAAACTAATGAATCTTATAAATAAGAAGAGACAAGGTTTGACTACTTTTCTTCTAAATAAAAAATATGCTCTCTGGTTCAAGAAACGAGTTCAGTGCTTTAAACTTTTATCCGAAAGAAGAAATACGCTTCTGGTTTTCTGGTATTTTATTTTTCTGGTAATTTAATTTAATTGCCTATAATATGATCAAAGAATCTATAGTACAAAGAAGTGCCACGCTCATACAAACGAAATACCCACTTTATTTTGCTGGTGGATTTATAATAAATCCACCCAACCTCATGCAACAATGTTCGATCGACTCACAACTGGTATGATGTTCAGTTCAAACTCATTGCAACCCACAATTGTTTTTATATGCCTGTTTCTTTTGTTTCTTGTTTTTATTTGTCTATTTAATTCATATACATGGATTAGTAACGAAGTGAATGGTATAGAAATCCCTCAAATAATTTTTCGATATACTTTGTTGCTTTATCTTATTGTAGAGTAATAGAATTTACTATTTTTTTTATTGCAACAAATGATGCACTACAAAAACTATTATGTATGTACAAATGGGATATTGGAGACATTAAGTCTGCAGTATATTAATATGTATGTTTTTATTGCACATTTGTGCATATACATATATTTTACCTCAAAAGGAACTACTTCTTAATAGTTTGAATATTTGGTGACTTTTTGTAATTATTTTAAAAAATATTTTTAAGATTCATATAAAAGTGTTTAAAAAGTATTTTAAAGAAAATAAAAATATTAGAAAAGTAAGAAAAATTATATTGAAAAAATGTATAGAAGTCACTAAAACCACTAATAATGCTTCCTGGTTTCCTGGTGTTTTTACACTACAATTCATAACAATATCAAACAGGTAATTTTGTTTCATATGCTATTAAATTCAAAAACTTATCAAATGTACACAATTTTGACTTCGTCACTGAAATGTTGTTTGATCGTTTGAACATTATACAGCGAACAAACATACAAACATGCGGATACAGAGGGTTGCATGTATGATTGAATACGTATGCAGTCGGGCTTTTGTCAGCCTCCTTGACTCACGTATAGGTTTGAACTGAACATCATACCAGTTGTGACTCGATCGAACGTTGTTGCATGAGGTTGGGTGGATTTATTATAAATCCACCAGCAAAATAAAGTGGGTATTTCGTTTGTATGAGCGTGGCACTTCTTTGTACTATAGATTCTTTGATATGACTTTATTCAGTTTTTATTAGATGGAATTTGATTGAATAAAATTAAAATATTCTGTATTGCCAACATATTCCATTTCATACCATATCAATGCGATATATATATATATATGTAATATGTTTAGGTCAAAATGCAAATGCTTTGCGAGCATCAAATATAAAATAAAATTCCTTTATTTTCCGCGAATTTGTCACAGTGATATACGCTGTGAACTAGGCAAAAGCACAACTGAAACTTTAAAATCAATGCGTCCATAATTGAAACAGCGAATTATAGAAAGAAGAAGGGGATTCGTTTACCTATTCTGTGGGTGTTTTCTTTCTAAAGTAACTAAATGGTTTGATAGTAGACATTCCTTAAGTAAATGGTTTCTCTCCCTAAATAAACCAAAAATTGAATGGTAGACATTCCTTAGGAGTTCTTAGCAATGATATCTTGATGGATTTCTTAAAGAAAAATAGTAGGACTCAAGAAACATACTTTAAATAAATATAAATAGTATTAATAGCATTTTTCACTATTTAAGAAATGTACCTTTTACTTTCTGAATTAATTCCAGATTCTATTCCATAAAGCCTGAGTCTTTTTATTTTCTTTTGAAATAGGTTAGGATTAGAATTGTTAAAACCAAAATAGATATCAAATAATTCAACAAGTCGCTTAAAATCAATTTACCATTCAAACCATATTTATCCACAATCGGCCAACCGACCTAAGTGCAACACTAGGATCACTATATGCAATCTGAAATAAATATATTATCTGTATTCTAAATACATTCTACTGCCGTTAGCAGGTTAGCAAAACTTAATAAGAATAATAATAAAATAATTAATTGCAATTAAATTAAGTTGGAAATAAATGAACTCAAACGATCTGTTTATTATATTTTTATATACATTTAGTACTGACTTTACAAACGCAATTTAAATCTCAAAACTGACTTAAGTTTGAATTAAGTCAGTAAAATTGATGCTTAAGTATGTATTAAGTAAGCAAAGTTCATGACTTAAGCTTAACTTGCGTCATGATGCGTGACGTGATTTACGACTTCGAAATCGGTCCTTAATATTGATTAATTATTTTGAGTTGAGAATTAATCAACTTAAAGCCATGCTCAAGAACGTTAAAACGTTCATCTGAGAACATTTATATTATTATTATTTCAATACTCTATTAGGAGTATGGAGTATACTTCTACTTCTCGTTGTTTATGTTTATTTGGTGCGTTATTCTAGATCTCACATGAGAACGTTTACTCTTTTATATAGACATTTGTGTATGTTTCATTTAAGGTATATATAAATTTCGACGTTATACTGTAATGTCATATAAAGTTTCATATATCACTAGTTGACAGGATTTAAACGATTTGTTATAGTTTTCATATGTTTATTTTACACATATAAAGGCAAAATTGTAGGTTAAATTTGATTACTGTGGCAGCCAGTCCAATTGAACAACTTACATAGACTTTATGGGCCATTTTGATACTATATATAGACACATTTTCTCCCTTTACTTTGTATTGATAAAATATACATAGTTAGGTTTGGTTAGCTCGCTGTACCGGCCTTGTGCCTAAGATAAAATATAGTTAGTAGTTAATAGATAACAATGCTATTTCATTTATATATCAATACTTATTTAATGTTATTAATATTTAACAAAAAAGATTATGTGAACACAACACATTATTAATGTTTTTATTTTAAACAATTGTTTTATATGTAAAATTTGCCTTATCGATGTTTTTTTCTGAGAATATCTTCCTCAGAGCACATTATTATAACAAAAGGTTAATATTATTGGATTCGTTGAAATAGATGCTTATCTGAATGTTTTAATAAAGAACGGCTAACTTATTAATAATGAGTAAGACTTAAAAAGTTTTTATTAAAAATTTTTATATATATAAAAAAAAAATTAAATGGCTAGAAACTTACGGCGATGATTGTTATAGTTGTCTAACTGTCGCAAGACATATATATCAGATTTTATTTATCCGCTTATTCAAACATGGTGTTGATTTTTATTTATAATTTCTAAAAATATTGAAATATTTTAATAATCTAACATCATAATAATTTCTAATTTATGGTCTGATTTATAAAAAACTTTTAGTTTGATTTTTTTAAATGTGTTTTAGTTAAATTCAATTTTAATCTTATTAAGTGGTTTCAATATACCCTATTCATAAATGTTTCGTAAACCTCTCATAACTATAAAGTAATATATTTGATATTCTTAATATTTTAATTATTAATATTTCACTGTAGTTCAAATGTTTGAAAGCGCCATCTCTTGATTAAAAATTAAAACGTATACAAAATTTTCTACAGCAATGCAACACTGCATAAGTATTTGCAATGCAAGTCTTAACCAGTTATCGATTAATTGATCTAAAATGTGCCTTCATTAGTTTTTGATTCTGTCTTGAGTAAAAAAGTTGTGTTTTTGTTGCAGGTTCCTAAAATAAATACTGAAAATATTTGTTAATTAGCACAACAAATAAAATAATAATAGTGTGTGTTATATATGTGATAATGTTCTATAACTGAGCTAAAGTGCTAATGGTCTAAAAAGTTTGAATAAATTTTACAGCGGTGCTTGAATTAGGAAGTAGAAGAAAAAAAGTAAAATCGGTCGTGGGCAGTGCATCAATTCGTTCGATATTTGCCTAGGTGGCGTTTTGGTTGCAATTTTACTTGCATCGCGGGGGGGAATAGTTATGAAAGGTGGCAAGGGTATTGAATGTAAACTAGACAAGTAATAAAAAGGGTGCAACACACTGCACCCATAAAGAGCATCCGTTGTAGCATCATTGCGTTTGTGTAGGAGGGGAGTGAAATTTACAAATATAATATACAAAACAAGAAGCAAATCAGTGGAAAGCAGTGGCCTTGTAACAAGAGCTCTTTTACGTTACATATTTACATATGGATACATACCTTTTATGTAGCACATAATGTTGCACTCAAGGAAATGTGAAATACAATAAATGGACTTGAAAATATATTTTAGTACCAGTAAATTATATAAATCACATATATCATATATATTTACATATATATATAAATACATTTTCAATGTATCTGACTGGAATTAAAATTAACTTAGTGCAAACAAATAGAAATTAAAATAAAAAATATAAAAAAATTAAAATATATAGAAAATGAGTGTGTTTAATGATTTTCAACGTTTATGGATGCAAAGATTTCCACAAAGCTCCTTATCGGATGCTTGGGAGCAAGATGTACGTGCCAGTCTTGAGAGGCACAAACAAAAAATTTCCGAACTTACAAAAGAGTTAGAACAGGAAACTCTTTATGTTGAATACTTGGAACGCTTATTATCCGA